CAAATCATCTAGAGGAGGGAATAGAGTGGCATCTCCAAGAAAGTAGGTAACACAAAGCTCTTCCAGGAAGAGGAATGCCAAGCCAATAAGGACAGAATAATCTAAATGGTAGTGATAGATGGGCTCCACTATGGGAAAATACAACCTGTTCTGCTATAACATAGTTGCCGCATTCCTCAAGAACCTTTGCTCTACGTTATCAAAAAAAGAGTTAGGGGGCCGGCCCTGTGGCCTAGTGGTTAAGTGTGGCATATTCCGCTTCGGTGGCCCAGGTTCAGTTCCCAAGCGCGGACCTACACCACTGGTCAGTGGCCATGCTGTGGTGGTGACCCACATACAAAACAGAGGAAGACTGGCACAGATGTTAGCTCAGGGTGAATTTTCCTCAAGCAAGAAAAAAAAAAAGTTAGAGACAACTGCTTCAATCGAAAAAAAATGAGTTAAAGTTAAAAGGTTTCAACTTGCATTAACAAGATTATTTTTCCTGCAGGAATTTCAGTTAAAAAAAAACAACAACAGTAATGTTAACTGTTGTCAGTGCATTCTGTTACTGTGAACTAGAAATAACAAAATGACTGACAGACAAACCTAAATACTTCCTTATTCCTTAATCCAAGCACTCAAAGCCTCAGGCTCCTCCATCATCTTTGGCTTTAACCTTGCATTTTTGCTTCTAGTATAGTTCACAACCACCAGTGGTAACAAGAGAATGTGGCATTATACAAAGCAGCTGTATCTACCTCTAAACACGCACACCTCATGTTTAACTGACAGCAGTTAATTACAAATTAATTAAATTACATTCAACTAATAACATGAAAACTCATGATGTAGGAGAAATGCCTACATAAGCTACTATATTAAAGGAAATTAATACTACCCACAAGGATAAGGGGCTCCAAGTTATGCTCAAATTCAGAAAAAGCACCTAAGGCTCACTGCAGATAACTGAGAAAACGTCAGCTCCATGTGCTGCTGCAGCCAGAGGACAAGAGTGTGCAGGGCGCCATCGAAATGCAAACAGACAATATCAGACGCAACAAAGACATAACTGACTCAACTCAAAGTTTTCCCAAGAAAAGAAAAGGAAACAGGAGAACAGGGGGTTGCTCTCCTGAAGGCTTTCACCACTGAACCAACGGAGAAATTAGTTGGGGAAAAAAATCACTTACAGGATCCAAACCTTCTTTCTCTAGTTTGGCCTTCTCCAAGTAATAACTCCTCTCGGCCACGCTGAGAAGCCTCCAGCTCTCACTAATCTTCTTATTGATCTCAGACTGAGGGAGGTGGGGGAGCTCCTGCTGCACTTTCAGGTAGATGTCGTAATAATATAGAAGGTACGCCGACCTGAGGAAGCAATGACTTCTTAAGGTTTGCCCTCATTCATCCAGTAAATACTACAATGTTAGGGTGTGAGTAGTAAAGAGGTAAATACAAAACCCAGCTTTTCATTTCAAAGTATTTATCCAAACAGGGACTGAAATAACACCCCCAGATAGCGTACAGGAGGAGGTTTCTCCATCCAGAAACCTGGAAGCAAAGGCCTTTCTGGTTTACTTTTTCATGGACCACTTCTTCTGCAGGGATGATTGGCTTTAAAACACAACATGAGCAAAGACAGATACAGGTGCCCTGTCATTCCACTCTCAGGGAAAAAGTTACTTAGGAGCCTGATTACACAGCCTAGTTATCACACACACACACACACACACACACACACACACACACACTACTCCTCTACACAGCTGGCATCAATCAGCCACTCCTCTTTTCCCTCTCCCCACAACCCCACTGCCCATCTGGAGGCTTCAACAATTGACATGGCACTCTCAAAGAATCTGGATGCAGCCTAAAGTCTTCCTCAACACAGCTCTCCAAGCAGCTTCTGTTTATAAATGCCAGCTACCAAAACAAGTTGGCTAACCTGGGCTTCTTGGCTTTTTCTCCATGTATTTTATACTTTTTCTTCTTCTTGGGTGGCCCAGGGGAGGTATAACAGTAGGCTTCTTCAATTTCCTCCATGACGACAGTTACCTCAGTACCATCATATGATGCATCCATGGCTAGAAGAAAGTCAAACACAAATAAGTTTCAAGAACCTACCCCAAAGGGGACAGCAGCCTCCTGATCCAATGATCCCTCATCTCTGCTTCAAAGGCTTCAAGGCTCAGTCATTTCCCAAACTTAGAAGATACTAAGCAGCACCTGGGGTACTTATTAAACATACAGATGCTAGGGTTCCACCCCAGCCCTTCTGAATCAGAATCTCTAGAGGGTATGGAAATCTGTGTGCTTAACAAGTGCCCCAGAGGATTCTTTGACCAGGCAAATTTGGGCCCTCTAGCTGAGAGAGCACTTTCGCTTATACTGACACACGGGACACTCACAGTAATCCTTCAATTCAAAGATTTATCACCCCCACATTACATGAATTCCTTATGGTAACAGGTGAAAAGAATACTTGGCCAGGAGTCAGAAGTTCTGGACCCTCCCTCCTATGTCTCACCTCCTTAAGCAAACTGCTTCATTAATTCATTCAATCATTCATTCAAACACGCAGTAAGTGCCTATATGTAATAGATTTCTCTACACTCTGCCAGTTTGTGTGACTTTGGGCAGGTCCTTTAGCTGCTTTAGGTTCAATTCTCGCACGTATGAAGAGAGATGTCTCACTCACCTTACCACAGATGTACAGTGATAAGGCTTCAAGGATATCACAGACATAACTCTACTTGAGAATGCTCAAGTGCTACACAAAAGGGTTCATTATGAAAGACGAATAATCTGTGGCTGAGATGCTTAATGACCTGCCCAAGGCCATCACACCCAAATAGTTACTTGAAAGGCAGATTTCTCTATTCAAAAATCCAACTCTCGGGGGGCCAACCCGGTGGCGTAGTGGTTAAGTTCACGCGCTCCGCTTCGGCGGCCTGGGGTTCGCAGGTTCGGATCCTGGGTGCAGACCTACTCACCACTCATCAAGCCATGCTGAGACGGTGACCCACACAGAAGAGCTACAACTCTACAACTATGATACACAAAGCTCTACGTACTAGGGCTTTGAGGAGAAGAAAAGAAAAAAGAGGAAGATTGGCAATAGATGTTAGTGCAGGGCCAATCTCCCTCAAAAAAAAAAAAAAATTATAAAAAAAAAATCCAACTCTCTGAACCTTCTTTCATTTTACTACACTGCTCCGCATCTCCACCGGCAACCCTCTAACCCAGTACTGTTCAATAAACTTTCTGCAATGATGGAAATGTTTTATATCTGTGCTCTCCAATATGATAGCTACTTGCAGCTATGTAGCACCTGAAATACAGTTAGTGTGATTAAGAAACTGAACTAATTTTGTTTTATGTAACTATAATTAATTTCAATAGCCACATATGGCTAGTGGCTACGGTATTGGACAGCTCAGGTCTAAACAGTAATCTTACAGACACACATTAGCTCTCTGGCATTGGCCTAAGAAACAAAGATCTATGAACAGTTTTTCCTAGAGAAAAAAAGACATAAAAAAACTGAATGACTAGTTCAAGAAGAGTTAGTTTACTTGTGGCCACGTTCTAAGTTGGAGTTTTATCCATGACGCTCAATCCTTGGAGAGAGAAAGGTTCCCAGAAACCACTTGAATTTTATGAGAGAGAAACGACATAGGTGCTCCTGAAAATCTGTTAGAAGAGAATCTGGGATTATGGGAAGAGGGAGTTGCGGCAGTAAACACAGAACCTATCTGTGTATTACAAAGCCCACTCACATCTCATTTAGACCTCACTCCACAAATGATGAGATATCTGATATGGTATAATGAGAAAAAGAGCAGTGCATGTTGAGTCAGGAACCTGGGTCTGAGTCTAAACTCTAACCATGTGATCTCAGACAAGTCTATTCCCCGCCCTCAATTTCAGTTGTTCCTTATGTGCCATGAAGAGGTTGAAATCAGTGGCTCCTCACTTTCTGGGAGGCAACTGTCCCTTTGAGAATGCTGTGAAAGCAGAAAACCCTCCCCTAGAAAATGCAGACAGACGATATTTCACCTATAATTTTAAAGATATACCCCAGGTTAAGAACACATTATTCCTAAGGTTCTTTCTAGTTCTGTGTCATCTCTAAATGGTATCCCTTCCCATTTGAAAAAAAAAAAGGGCAAAACCCTGCATTCTGTCATAGTGCAACCCTGGAAAAGAACATAACCTACAACTTGGCTGGGTAAGTAACAGGCCAGAGCCTTCACTGGGTAAGGGAAGCTAGAGTTCAAATCAAGGCTATGTAGGGACTGTGCCTTTTTGCCCTTAATAATTGACTTCTCAGCCCTTGCAAGTCTTGCAGAGAAAAAGCAACAACTGCAGGCGAGCATCTGTAAAGACTGGCATATAGGATTTTAGCACCCAGAACAAAACAAGTCGAGAAACAATGTCATTACAACTACCACAGGATGCGGGCAGGAAGAGGCTACCCTGTTTCAATCCTGGGTCCAAGACTGTTTTCAGATCCTAGGCCTCAGTACAGCAATGCAAAAAAAAAAAAAAGTTAGGATAATACAAAGGTTAAAACCAAGGGCTCTGGAGCGCAGATCAGGGTTCCAGTTTAACTCATACGTTTTAATATCACCCACACAGAGCTCTATGACCTTGAGCAATCTACTTACTGTCTCTAAGCCTCAGTTTTCTCATCTGTAAAACAGGGTTAAGGCAGTACTTGAAATCTGAGAGACAATTTCACTACCCCATCGGATCCTCCTCGGAACGTCACAGAATGGGCTTTGACGGCTCAGCTACGGGCCACGGTCTGACTCCAGGCTAGTTCCTTTCCCTATCCGGGTCTTAGATGTCCCAAAGGTACCGACCGAACGCGGGAGGAGACGAGGAAGGCTCACTGCTCCTACTTCGTGGAAGAGGCAACAGGGCGCAGAGAGCCGCAGCACCCGGCTCGAGGTGAGCCAGCGGGTCCGCGGCGCGGTGCAGCGGCGCTCGAGGGCGGGACTTACCCGGAGGGGCTTGCAAGCCGCGCGGCTCACATTCCCGGAGGCGCCCGGCCCGGGGGCTCGACGATGCGGCTGGCCGGCGCACTCGCGCTCCCCGCTGTCGGCGAGAGGCGGCTCCAGTCGTGACAGTGGCAACAAGGAAGTGGAGGCGAGGGCTCGCGCGCGCATCCCGGGGGCTATATGAGCCCCGGCCCCGCCCGGCGACACACGGCGCGGACTCGCGACGGCCCTTCTCGCTCCCCCTCCTCGGAGTCGCGATACGGGGTCGTGAAGGGCGGGTGTGGGAGCAAAGGTTCGTTCCGCAGGCTCTTCACCGACGCCTGCCGAGGGCCCCGGGGGGGGGGGTCAAGCCCCGGGGAGCCCGAGGAGGACAGCAGGGACACGGGCGTCGCCGAGGCACCGGCTCGGTGGCAGCAGCAGCGCCAGCACACCTCGGATCGCCTGGGAGACCCGTCCCGGCGGCCCTCGCGGCGCACCGGAAGCGGCCGGTGGCGCGTGACTGCGTGCGACTCTTTGCGCAAGCGCAACAGTCCAGCTCTAGCTCAGGGGCGGGCCCATAGGAGCAGCTTAGAGGCTCAGACAGGGCCTGCTAAGGCGGACGGACTGCTTCCGGCTAGAGGTTCCGGGAGGAGGAGGAAGCTGCGCCCGCCCGCGGTGGGAGGCCCGGGTCGCTTAGTCCCGGGGCTTTGCCGTAGGGCGTTCAGGTAACTGGGGCGGGGCTGTGCCGAGCGTGAGGGGTTGAGGCCCCGCCTCATCTCTCAAAGCCACGTGGGGCCTGGGGAGCCCCAGCACCACCTTCCCCGCACGGCGTTCAAGGCCTGACCCCAGCCCTCCTCAGTCTGTCCCCACTCATCCAGCATAGGGTTCTTACTTCTTAGTGCCGCATGAAGCCGTCCTCGCCCCGCTGACCCGGTCTCAATCCGTCCCACCATCGTCCCACACACAGTAATGGTAATGAGTTCCTGGAGTGATTCAAACCGAGCTGAATGACCATGTGGAGAGGCTCCGGAATCAGATCAGGATTGTGGTGTCCATTCCCGCCAGTGTCACAGATTGCCTCCCATTTGTTCAAGACCCCGCACGACCCTCACTATCTTGCAGATGTAGTTCTAATCAACTTACTTTTCTCCATCTGCCACTGTCACCAGCCTTCTAGTCACCATCATCTCCTGCCTGGACTGACACAGTTTTTTCCCACCTCCACTCTTACCCCTCTACAATCTGTTCTCCACACAGCAGCCAGATTGATCTTTGTGCACTGTAAATCTAACTAGGTCACTCCCTGCTTAAGACCCTCCAGTGTCTTCTCATTCACTTGGAATAAAATTCAAACTTGCCTTGACCTCCAAGACTTTGGTTTGACTCTTGCTTCTTTCTCTTTCCACGTCTCTTGTCAATGCTGGTAGTTCCCACAACAAGCTATATAGAACTCTGTAGTGTTCAGAACACTGGTTTTGTGGTAAACCTCCCTGGGTTTGAATCCCAGTCTTGCCACCTGTAAGCTGTATTAAGCATGTACAGTAACAAATTATGTTGACTAAGTAGATCCTCAATAATTAGTTCTCATCTCAGTAAACAGCGCCACTGTCCACTGGATTGCTCAGCGCTCCAGTCAGAAATCGAGGAGTTATCCTTGACTCCTCTTGCACCTCACATCCAGTCCATCAGCAAGAGCTACAAAAACAGCCCCGAACTGACTACTTCTTCACATCTCCACTGTTACTCTGTTCTAAGCCACCATTATCTCACATCTGGACTCCTGCAGCAGCTAGTCTCCTGCTTTTTCCCTGACACCCTTCAATTCCATTCTTCACATAGCAGTCATCTTTCTCCTTGCCTAAAATCCTTCAGTAGCTTCCTATTGCTCTCAAATTAACATATCTCAACTGTATATGGCCCACTAGGCTAGCCTGCTTTTATCTTCAGATTTAGGGCCACCTCTTAGGAAAATGGATTTTACCCATTAGGTTCTCCACCTTGCAACCAAAGGACTCTTTCTAAAGTGCAAATCTGATCATGTTATTCCAAAAACAAAACAAAACAAAACAAAAGACTCTGAAGGCCTCTTATCCCGGGATCAAGCCAGAACCCTTACTAGGCCTTTCTGTGATTTAGCCCTTGTTTTCTTCTCCAAAGACTTATTTTTTTCCTGACCATGCCATCTTGTTTTCTGTTGCACTTCATTGCCTTTACACATATTTCCTTCTATCTCATGAATTTCTATTTGTTTATATTTCAAGGCCCAACATCAATATTTTTTCCTCTTTGAAGTGTACTGTCCATCCATGCCCCCCCAGTTGATGATCCCCACTTCTGTGTTCTAGTACATAGTACTCTGTAACCTCTTGTATAGTATTCCAAACACTCTAGTGTTTATATTCCCTGGTAAGCTCAATGGTAAGCACTATGCTCCATTCATCTGTGTATGGCTGGCATCAAGCACAGTGCTTAGCACTTGGAGGATGCCATGAATGGATAGATAGATGTGTGGACATACCCCTTGGGAAGGGGCAGTCACAGCAGCTTCTCTTGCCTTTTGAGGACTCTCATGATAGAAGGTCTAAGCAGGCAATTGCCAAAACTGCTACTGCTGGATCATGTTTATTTCCTTCATAGCACATATCACACTCTGTAATTGTCTTGTTTGTTCACATATTGTTTATCTCCCCCCACCACATTGTATATTTCATAAGGGCAGGGACCTTGACTATGATCTTCATCACTGTATCCTTAGCACTTAGCACCTGTAAATAGTCAGTAAGCGAATGTATGGCTACCGGAAACATATTCCCGCAGTGAAAATCCTTCCAAGCCACATGGTGATAAAGCTTTGAAGATCTCATTTTGGTGGAATTCCAAGTAGGAGTATGAAGTGGCAGAAATAGCACTAATCTGAGTCAAGAAATCAAAGCTGTATGAACCTGGGTAGGCCCTTTCCTGGGTCCTCAGTTTCTGTATCTATAAAACAAGCCAGATATTAATCCCTTAAATTTATACAATGCAAAGCTCTTTACCATCTATTATTTCAATCTAGTCTCATAGTAGACAGAGCAGACATTATTATTATTTTTACAGAGGCTCGGAAAGTTTAAGTAAACTAGATTTTCTCTAAGATCTCTTCTATTTCAAACATTGTATGAGTCTATATAACTAATCGCACAAAAAGTCAGTAGTATGAATCCTATCTTCTCTTGACTTTGGCCTTATGTTATCATTTCCTAATAGGGTTTTTAAAAATATGAGCCCATCCTTTAGGGGGAATCCATTATCTTTGGTTCCTGATAGGTACTCCATTTTGTCTTCTCAGTTTTCCACACTTGTGGCAAAACAAGCCAAGAGGAGGAACAGACACAGTCCTGGTGGTGTGGCCCAGCCCTTATTCTGCGGAGATGGCAAACAAGGGGAACAAGAAACGTCGGCAGTTCTCCCTGGAGGAGAAAATGAAAGTTGTGGAAGCTGTAGATTCAGGCAAGAGGAAAGGCGAGGTAGCAAAAGAATTCGGTATCACTCCTTCTACTTTGTCTACATTCTTAAAGGATCGCACCAAATTTGAAGAAAAGGTGCGGGAGGCGTCTGTGGGACCCCAGCGGAAAAGGATGAGGAACGCTCTATATGACGACATTGATAAGGCTGTTTTTGCTTGGTTTCAAGAAATCCATGCCAAAAACATTCTCGTGACTGGCTCTGTCATTCGGAAAAAAGCACTAAACTTGGCCAACATGCTTGGCTATGACAATTTTCAAGCAAGTGTGGGCTGGCTGAACAGATTTAGGGATCGCCACGGAATTGCTTTGAAAGCAGTCTGTAGAGAGGATAGTGACAGATTAATGAATGGTCTAGGAATAGATAAGGTTAACGAGTGGCATGCAGGGGAAATTATAAAACTGATTGCTGACTACAGCCCAGATGATATCTTTAATGCTGATGAGACAGGAGTGTTTTTCCAGTTGCTTCCCCAGCACACACTTGCTGCTAAAGGGGACCATTGTAGAGAGGGCAAGAAAGCAAAGCAGCGGTTGACAGCACTCTTTTGTTGCAATGCTTCAGGGACTGAGAAAATGAGACCATTGATTGTTGGTAGGTCAGCCAACCCACGCTGCCTCAAGAATGTCCATTCCCTCCCTTGTGATTACCGAGCCAACCAGTGGGCATGGATGACGCAGGATCTGTTTAATGAGTGGCTGATACAAGTGGATGCCAGGATGAAGGAGGCGGAACGCCGGATCCTCCTGCTGATCGACAACTGCTCTGCTCACAACATGCTTCCACGCTTGGAAAGGATTCAGGTGGGGTATCTGCCCTCAAACTGTACTGCTGTCCTGCAGCCACTGAATCTTGGCATAATTCACACCATGAAAGTACTGTACAGGAGCCACCTTCTAAAACTGATCCTCCTCAAGCTCAACAGCAACGAGGATCAAGAAAAAGTGGACATCAAGCAGGCCATTGACATGATTGCTGCAGCATGGTGGTCAGTCAAGCAGTCCACAGTGGTGAAATGCTGGCAGAAGGCAGGCATCATCCCTATGGAACTGACAGATTCTAACACAGAAGCAGCAGCCAGTGAACCAGATATTGCCATTGAAAAGTTGTGGCACTCAGTGGCTATTGCCAGCTGTGTCCCAAATGAAATAAATTTCCAGGACTTTGTCACTGCAGATGATGATCTCATCATCTCTCAGGAGCTGATGGACACAGAGATCATCCAGGGCATGGTGGCTGGTGAAAATACTGATGAAGCTGGAAGTGAAGATGAGGGAGAGGCATCTTTACCACAGCAGCCAAAAATCACCATCACAGAGGCCATCTCAAGTGCACAGAAACTTAGACGGTTCCTTTCCACTTGTGTAGGCGTTCCTGATGCCATTTTTGGACAGCTAAATGGCATAGATGAATACTTAATGAGAAGAGTGACACAAACTCTTATTGACTCCAAAATTACTGATTTCCTTCAAACAAAATAATGTAGGAATTAACTGCCTCTTTTAATTTAGAAGATGTAGTTTACAAGAATAAAGATCTTTAGATAGGATATTGAAGTTAAATTTTAAGCAATATTATGATGACAACATTCCAGTCCTCTGAAATAATCAGGAAACTTCCTTGAATGGAATTTGGAAATGCAATTTGACTAAGATACGTGTTCTCTTTTGATTAATCCAATGGTTTCCAAACTCGTCTGCACCTTAGGATCACTTGAGGATCTTTAAAAAATTTCCCAAGCCCAGGCTTTTTCCCAGACCAATTAAATCACAATCTCTGGTGCTGGGTCACAGGCATTAGTAGTTTTTGAAGCTCCCCAGGTAATTCCAATGTGCAGAAAAGTTTGAAAACTACTGAATTAACCACAGGAAAATCAAGCACACTATGAGTCTGGAGCCAATTTTTTCCCAATACGTCTAGCTCAGCGGTTTCCAAATTTTAGCTCACTTCAGAATCACATGGAAGGCTTGCTAAAACCCAGATTGCTGGGCTCCGCCTCCAGAGTTTCTGATTTAGTGGAGGGGCCCAAGAATTTTCATTTCTAACAAGTTCCCAGGTAATGCTGATGCTGATGTGGTCTGTGGTCCATACTTTGAGAACCACTGGTCTAGCTAGATTCTAGCACTTTTCTCTTAAGCTGGCCATCTGAATACTCCCAATCACTAACTGTCAAAAAAAAAAAAAAAAAAAAAAGCAGCAGCTATTCTTACTCCAGAGCTGTTAACTCCTCTCTGCCACTTTGGTAACTCTAGAACATTCTTAGCTATTCTCTTGACTGCCCCGTGAGTTAGCCAAGTACTCAGTAGAGGTACGTCTATCTGTGCCCAAAGAATTACCAGGAGCCATCTAGCATATTAAAACATGTTGTAGTGCTACAGGCTTATTATTAATAGGGAGCTGGGGTACAGGGAAATAAAGCACATTAAAGAGGAAACATGATACAATCTGGGAGGCACGGTATAATATCTGAGAATCCTGTTAATCAGGATCGTGGGAGAGAACATACAGCCCAGTGTGCCTCTCAGTGTCCAGACAAGGTTAGAAGGAAGTTTGTGAGAGAGGTGACGTGTCAGAGTGTTTGGATCACCCACTATTTGGATTATTTGCTCTGCTCCTCTGTGTGGATTTCCTGTGGATAATCCAGCCTGGGCCATGTAATTAAGATGAGGGCACACTGTTTGCCTTCACTAAAATTACTTCATAAATTGCCTTTATTCCTTCATATTTGTTCTTCAGAGAAGTCTGCTAGAGAAGAGTTGATTTTAAGTTATTTAAAACTAGATAAATTTATAATCAGATTTATATTCAAGTTTTCTCCTATAGAGAAGGCATTCTTAATACCCTGTATAACCCTAGTATCTATTCCTAATAAGTCAGATAAATGTTAGTTTCATTTTTTAGAAGATACGTACACAATACCTGCCAGTGTTGTAGTGCACCGTAGTACCCCCTTATCCAAAGTCTCGCTTTCTGCAGTTTCAGTTACCTGCAGTCAGCTATGGTCTGAAAATATTAAATGGAAAATTCCAGAAATAAACAATCATAAGTTTTAAATTGTGCACCGTTCTGAGTAGCATGATGAATGCGACTTCTCATGCCACCCATCTCCATCCTGCCCCGGCTGTGAATCCTCCCTTTGTCCAGTGGATCCACGCTGTATACACTACCCGCCTGTCAGTCACTTAGTAGCTGTCTCAGTTATTAGATTGACTGTTGTGGTATTGCAGTGCTTGTGTTCAAGTCACCCTTGTTTTACTTAATAATGGCGCCAAAGTGCAAGAGTAGTGATGCTGGCAATTCGGATATGCCAAAGAGATGCCGTTAAGGGCTTCCTTTAAGTGAAAAGGTGAAAGTTCTTGACTTAAGGAAAGAAAAAAGAAATTGTATGCTAAGGTTGCTAAGATCTACAGTAACTTTTATTACAGTATATTGTTATAATTGTTCTATTTTATTATTATTGTTAATCTCTTACTGTGCCTAATTTATAAATTAAACTTTATCATAGGTTTGTATATATAGGAAAAAACATAGCATATATAGGGTTCAGTACTATCCGTGGTTTTGGGCATCCACTGGGGGTCATGGAATGTATCCTCCTTGGATAAGAGAGGGCTACTGTAGTCCCCCCCACCCTTTCAGGTTAATTTTTTGGCTATTTCAGGAACCCATAGCAATTCAGTTATTTTTCTTTCTGTAGTTACTTAGTTAAAACAGATGTTTAAAGCAGATTAATCGTAGAAAGTACTGCTTCCACGTTGAACAAAACAACAAGCACAAAAAACAGCAGATGTTTAAATAGATGTTTTTTTAAAGCTTATTTTGGATCTTTTTCCTTTTAACAAACTAGTGTAATTTGGATTAAAAGTACTATACCTATTTTAAATTCTTAGCACTTAGGAGAGGAAAACAATGTCTTCTGGCCAAGTCCTGTGGTTCTTTATCATTGTCAACACCTAATTGCTCTCAGCATCTTGTGTCAGGATTACTGACATAATTTCTAATTTCTTCCCTCACCTTTCTCCTGAAGTCCATTTTGCACATAATGTTAGATCTAGTGGCATCATGCCATTTCCCCTACCCAAGTGTCTTTGGCAGCTCCCAAATGCCTAAAAAATACGAGATTATTCAGCTGAGTTTCAGCACCCTCTAGAGTTGACTACAACCTGCATTTCCAGCTTGGTTGCTCATTGTGTGCACTGCCCCCTGAATAGGCCATTGTCTTTCACTCCATACCCATGTCTGCTAGTGTGCCTTTTCCTGAATGCCTCTCCCTGCTCTCTATCAAGCTAGGCCCTACACATTCTTAAAAAACTAACTGGAGTCCTTTTTCTTCCAGCCTGTCTTGAAGACTCCAGCACCTGCTCCACCCTTCTTTCCCTCAACTCCTCAGCACGTCTTGTCTCTACCACTGAGTTAAGCACTTAAATGTCTAGCAGTATTCTGTGGCTCTTTAACTAGACTGTAAGCTCCATGAAAGCAGGGACCAGTCAGCCTTTGTAACTTACTGGTGCCTAGCACTGTGCCGGGCACATCATAGGCACTTCAGTAAACATTTGTGTATAAATTGATACACAGATGTAATGTGTCAAAGCCACCTTATTTTTAAAGCTGTATGAAGCATTGATTGTACTAGAAAATGACTTGGAGGTAAGGTAGGGTTGTCTTCTATTTAAAAGGATTTGAAAAATTTTTCCATGAATATCATTGCATCAAATATTATTCTAGTCCAGGTTATAAACTGTTCTTTGATAATGAAGAATTCTCATATAGAGAGTTAAACCTGTTTCCTTCCACAGAAAGTCACTGCAGGATTCTCCAGTTATACACACAAGACTTCAGGATGAAAGGCTTTGTCTAAGTGCCTTGCATATAGTAGTATTCCGTATATATGTTTAAACTTGCTTTTTTTAAAAAAAGAAATCTCACATTCTTGACTCATTTAACACATCATATGATTTAGATCCCAGTCGATGGAAATCATGTACAAAAGAAAGAGCTTTTGCAGTCTGGTTTACATTGGCTGAACCTTTGATTCTATTGGATATTAGGGTTTTTTGTTTGATGCTTTGTTTCTTTAGAAAGAGGTTGATATTACTCCTTCTTAGTCTGTTGTCTTCACCAGCCCCTTGTGGCTTCTCCCTGACTCTCTGGTCCCTCTAGCCCCACTTGAGGACTTCATTTTGCCCTAGTTGACCAATTGACTCTGTATGACAACGTGCTGGGACTAGGCACCTACCTTGTGCTGTCATGAGGACGAAAAGGTGTACCTGGCACAGACTAAGTGTTCTATAAATGCTATGTATGTCATTACTATCCAGTACTATCAGAACTTTACCAGTACCATCTAGAGGCAGGGACCTGCCTTACCAGCCCTTTCTCCCACTGACGGATCTTGGGGCTCAGTGTTCTAGAACCTGGCCCAACCTGATCAATAAATAAAATTCAAGTTTTCTTTGCCCTGTTCCTAAGAGGGGCTTTCATTAAAAAGGAAGGAAGCTAAGAGTTATTGATTGCCTATTATATGTCAAGCATTGTTTCACTTCCTATCATTTAATCTTTCCAGCAAATCATAATACAAAAGGACAAATAGGCTCAGATAATGTAATTCCAAAGTTGCAGGGCCGGCCCCGTGGCTTAGCAGTTAAGTGCGCACGCTCCGCTACTGGGGGCCCGGGTTAGGATCCCAGGCGCGCACCGACATACTGCTTGTCCAGCCATGCTGAGGCGGCATCCCACATACAGCAACTAGAAGCATGTGCAACTATGACATACAACTATCTACTGGGGCTTTGGGGAGAAAAAGGAGAAAAAAAAGCAGGAGGATTGGCAATAGATGTTAGCTCAGGGCTGGTCTTCCTCAGCAAAAAGAGGAGGATTGGCATGGATGTTAGCTCAGGGCTGATCTTCCTCACACACACACAAAAAAGTTGCAAATCTATTAAAGAACTCCTCATGCTACCTGAGGCCTTAGTTCTTTGAAGTGGACTGTGGTAGCATATTCTGGCCACCAGAGGGCAGGGGTGGAGTACCTAAGGGAGACAATTTAGTCAACTGAAGAAACCTAGGAGCAGCCACTTCTAATTTCTCTGACAAGGTAGATATTGAGAGGGAAGACAAGGAAAGCGAGACGAGACATAGGATGTGGGATTTGTTCAAACAACTAACTTAGAAATAACTGTGCCTTGGACCACCTAATCCACCCTGTTACACACCTACTCCTTCGCTAGAGACTTTTTGCAGCCTATTGATAACCACAGGCCATGTAATTGACCTGAACAGATAGACATGCTCTGCAGATGAGCCAGTATTAGAAAAATAACTACCTACCAAACATATCCATGCTTGCAATAATCATATATTGGATCTTATAATAAACTCATTGCTGGCCATACAGCCTCTAAGGATGAAGTACATGGCCCTACCTTCAAGGAGTCCAGTTAGTAGAGGAGATAAAGAGGAAAAAATAATAAGAGTGGGAAATGCCATTTTAGAGAATATGCAGAGAATATATAGGAGTACAGAGACGGAGCCTAAAGGAGCCCCTGCATGAGAGAAAAGCAATTCAATAGGAAATATTGCCAAGAGCATGGGACATTTAATGAGAATTCAGAGGGAGGAGTAGGGAATTAGGCATACGGGGCTGGGAGGCAACGCCTGGCAGAAGGAACAGCGTATATAAAGGCCTGGGGTATTAAAAAAATAGCCCATTTGGGAACAGCTAAGGTCAGAGGTTGGGATGTCAAGCAAAGGATGTGTGGCAGGACAAGAGGATGGAGATGTAAGCAATGGCAATGTTTTTAAGGTCTGGTTGGCTAGAGAATTAATTTTGAACTTATCCTGAAAACACTGGAGAACCACTTACAAAAAGTAAAGGTCAATTTTTTTTTTCTTAGAAAATAATTGATAACTATTGTGGAGGCCGGGTTGTAGAGAAACAGATCAACTCGTTAGGCTGTGGCATAGTCCTGAAGAGAAATGATGAACACTGAGGGCAAGAAAAAGACGTTAGATTTAAGAGATTTACCAGGTAGATGGATTTGATGTGGGAGTTGAAGAGGAATATTCTAGAATTTCCCAGGTTTCTGGCTGGAGTAGCTGGGTCATGCCATAATCAAGATAGGTTAACAGGTGAAGAGGAGTTTGGGGGTATGCTGCATGTAAGGTACCTCTGAGCATCCAGGCAGAGCTGTCCAATAACCGCTCTGGAGACTTTATATAGACAGATATGCTTATTGGTGTTCTAGAAAGGTCACGCTGGAAATCACGTTTGGCTGCCATTAGCACGCAGATAATAAGGCAACTGAAGCCATAGATGTGGATGTAGTCATCTGGAGAGAGCTTATAATGCAAGATGTTCATGATATGGGGTTCCATGAGCCAGCCTTTTTATAATCATGTGTGTATATACATGCACATGTGGATATTTCATCAGTCTCAACTAGATCTGAAAATAAAACTTAAGCAGTGGTGCTAAATGAGGGAAGAGGCCAAGGACACAAGCACTGAAAGAACAGATGGGGAAGCAGAGCCCTGTAAGGTGGAGGAGATGCTAAAGAATGAGTGTTTGAGGCATTTCACAGGGCTCTGGATCCCAGATACTGCATGTAGACAGGGTGGGTGCACAGGACAGTAAGACGGGAAGGGCCCTTGGAAGACCAACTCCTTCACTGTCTGGGGTGGGTATGAGCTTAGGGGTAGCATACCCAGGGTTACAGGAGTACTGCAAAAGGAAGACTACAACTCTCGTTAACCCTATACCCACGCTCCCACTTCTTCCAGAGCTGAGAGAGGTAGGAGGAGGAGGACATTCAGGGAGAGGCTTCACAACAGGTATGGGGAGAGCGTGGTGGCACAGATTATTCCTTATGAAGTGTTATGCTCCAGTTAGGAATTCCACTCCCAATTCTCTTAGTATAACATGTTAGCTTTAATTTATTGATGGGAAAAATGTGGCTTAAAATTCACTTATCAAAATTCAGAGTTAGGACAGTGGTAAAACATGAGCCAGTTTTGGGTTTTCTGATTCCAATCTAGTATGGAATAGGAGCCAGGCAACATGAGAACTGAAAGGGTCCTCAGGCAATCTAGTCCTCCTCCCCTCTTCACTGATGAAAAAATTGAGTCCCCAAAGGATTAACTGACTCACTCAGGACCACAAAGCAAAAAAGAAAGAACTGGGTTTCTTTATGCTTTACCGCTTTCTATAAGGACAGATCCTTTTGTTATGGTTGGGAAAATTAATGAATGAATCACTCTCCAAATGTAAAGAGATGGTATTTTAAGCTTACTGGGGTATTTTAAGCTCAGTGGTGACCTAAATGAAACACCTAAGTGGTGTTTCTAAGTTAGAACCCCCCCTGCAATTAATTTAGACACAGAGTAATATTTTATTAGCACAATTTATTAGCACACAAATGAAATGACACCTCTAGATCTCAACACATATAGGATCTTACATAATAAACATTATGAGCATATCCTTCTAGAAGAAAAGGATCTGCTATTAACCAACTCCCCACCTCCTGCAATAGGCTGCAATCCATCAATAACTCATCCTCATCCCATAGAGTTAGGTTAAGCATGAATTATGTGGAATAGCATCAAGGCACTTGCTTTAATTAAAAAAGATACACGTGGTATAAAACATGTTCCTACAAGTCATTAGCCTTCAATAATTGGAAAAAGGTAATATACTTTTTTTAGTGAATAGACAAGACAGAATTTAAGTTCATTCACCTATCACCCTGATATTGTCTTGATTTGTATATAAAATTTCAAAGGAGACCCAAAAAGGTAGTGTTTTATATAGATTGGTTTGTTCACACTAACTGTTGAGAAATCATGGCAGCATCAGAACTCAAACAGTAATTTGCCAACTGATTTGAACTGAAAAGGCAAGAGCTGTTTGACTCCAAGTATCTTATTTTAGGGATGGGAGATGGAGTGGGGAAGAGAACTTCCCTATAATAAGTTTATTAAAGCTGCAGTTAAAAAGCCTTTTTGGCTAAGGCTGCTTGTCTGTCTGCCAACTAAAAAACCTTCAGTTAGAAATTTTGTCATTGGTATTTTGTAATAAGATTGTAATTATTTGGCCTTTTTCAGAGCCATAATTCAAGTCCAAGAAAGGTTATAGAAGGTTCCAGTGTAGACTCACAAACATGGCATCTCCAATAAAGCCATTTAGTGTCCCTCATTATTCCAGTTTTCATAATTCAATGTTATCTCCTTCCTATTTTACATCACTAAGAGAAAAACAAAATACACACCAAAAAAATCCACTATTTAGTATACTGTTTAACTTTCCTAACTGTATTTAACATGTTTACCTTAAAATTACAGGTGCAAAACGCTATAAAAAAATAGTCCTTGTCAGGATAAAAATTGCCTTACAAAAATAAATCTCCCCCACTCCCACATCTAAATTCCCCATTCCTAAAGTTACTAACATGTTTTTTAACTAAAATGCCTTTAACTTACAGTATTTCAATAGTGTTTTACTTTAATAATAGGCTATGATAAACCAGCTGGTGTATTACATTGGCCTCTTCCATTAAAATTTTCATTCTTGTTATTAGCACTCAAATTAATAATTTTATTCATGATTATCTAAAATCTTATACAAAAAAAAAAAAAGCCAAATTAGTTCAAAGCCTAAAATCTTTCTAGATCCAATTTCCTCCTCTTTGCAGTTTTTTTAAGCCCAGTTCAAATAAGGCATGACTAGAACAGATAAAGAAAACATTAAAGGGAAAAAAAAAAAGAAGAGAAACATTAAAGAACAGAAAAACTAAGCAATGTCTAAATCCTATCAATTGGGCTTTTACCATGTCACACTGGAATCATTCCCTGAATAGACCAGGGCCATCCATGCCTCCTTGTCTGCCCCAGTTGTCTGCCTCCTGCTCAGACCTCAGTCCAGACTCAGCTCAGCCCCTCCATAAAGCACCTCCAAGTGCCCCCTGTGTTACCTAGGAGAGTTACCATATAGCCCACCTACTGGATTTAGTACCATAGTCCCAGCACCTGGCCCAGGGCCCTAGACTCCCGCGTGGGTCCTCAGGAGGTATTAGAGGTATTGTCTACATGGATGCAAAAGAACCTATGGCTCATCTATAGCAATACATAGAGGAAAACAATTCGTTAAAAACTTTAATAAGGATCACAGAGCTTTAATTTATCATCATAACTTCTAGACTCAATTTAAGTTCCCAAGAAATTCACTGCAGCCCTTTCTCATTTTTATATTAAGATCACGGCTAACACTCAGACAATGTGTTTTTTTTTTTTTTTTTTTTAAAGATTTTATTTTTTATTTATTTTTTCCCCCCAAAGCCCCAGTAGATAGTTGTATGTCATAGCTGCACATCCTTCCAGTTGCTGTATGTGGGACTTGGCCTCAGGATGGACGGAGAAGCAGTGCCTCGGTGCGCGCCCGGGATCCAAACCCGGGCCACCAGCATCGGAGCGCGAGCACTTAACCACCAAGCCACGGGGCCGGCCCTGACAATGTGTTCTTAAATGACAAATTACTAAGAGAATATATCCCTGCAGAAAATTACTGTTCTTGTTAAAATGTAGTCATTAGCATTAGAAAAGTCTAATGAACTCATCTAAAACCCTGACATATTTAAAGATCACCATTTACCATACTGTAAATTTACCAACAAATTTTGGCTTCAACGTCTACTATTGTTTAAAAGCTAAGTCAGACTATCCAGATCATGTTTTCCTTTGATCAACTTAAAAAAAGTAATTGTCAACTAGCTGTCAATTTTGCCCCCATCAGAGGCACAGAGCGTACTGCAGTCACTCAGTCAGTGCTCCAGAGTAGATCAGCCTGGGCTTTTGCCCCAACCCTGGCTACCACTGCTCCTCAGCTCTGTCAGCTTTGCTGAATCTGTGCCCCTCCCCTTCTAGAAACAGAACCCAGGTCTGACCTTGCTCTCAAACTAAGGTGTCACTCCTAATCCTGATCTCCCTACTGTTGTGTGGTGCTAACCAGGGAGTGGATCCTATCAACTGAGTCCCTCTTTTCTCCGGCATTTGGTCAAGGTAGTCTTTTCCATGGTCTATTCCCGTCACCCCTCTCTTGAATGTTATCCTTGAATGTTATCCTTAGTCTCTGTGCATCGGCACACTCCATCCCTCTGGTTATAACAAATTTAAAAATAAGTAAGGTTGGGGGGCTGGCCTGGTGGCATACTTAAGTTCGCGCACTCCACTTTGGTGGCCCAGGGTTCACGGGTCAGATTCTGGGCGCGGACCTACACACTGCTAATGAAGCCATGCCGTGTCAAGCATCCCACATATAAAGTCAAGTCAGATGGGTATGGATGTTAGCCCAGTGCCAATCTCCCTCAGTAAAAAGAGGAGGATTGGCAACGGATGTTAGCTCAGGGCTAATCTTCCTCACCAAAAAATAAAAATAAAATAAAAAATAAAAAAGATTAAAAAAAAATAAGGTTGTAAGACTTTTAACCATCAAGAGTGTACACACTACATTTCAATTAAATGACCATTTTATGATATTCAGAGTTTTGTACATTTGTCAATAAGCAATGAGAAAATGCTTCATTTAGACTCTAAAGTTTAGAGTAAGCAAGATATTTTTGTATCAATAAAGTGTAAAATATCACCTGATGAACTAAAGTCCAAAGCCCTTGAACAAGAAACCAAATGAAAACTAGTTTTACTGGTGAATTAGGCTTTGGTTTCAGGTTTGATTCCTTTAAATATCAGCAATAAAAAAACTTTAACAGGGGCCAGCCCCGTGGCACAGCGGTTAAGTGCGCAAGCTCCGCTGCTGCTGACCTGGGTTTGGATCCCGGGCGCGCACCGACACAGGGCTTGTTGGGCCACGCTGTGGCGGCATCCCACATAAAGTGGAGGAAGATGGGCACGGATGTTAGCTCAGGGCTGGTCTTCCTCAGCAAAAAGAGGAGGATTGGCATGGATGTTAGTTCAGGGCTGATCTTCTTCACACACACACAAAAAAATTAACCATGTATAAGTTTAGGCAGACCTCAACCCAAGCAGAGAAGGTGAGATATAAATTCTAGAGAAATCTTAAATGGTTTTACAAATGGCTACCAGAAGCAGAATCTCTTGTTTGTTTGTTTGGGTGGGAGAGTAACAAACCAGAACACAATTCAAGAATTTGCTAATTGCATAAAGCTCCAGAATTGTTTATATCCATGTATGGATAGAAATGTCAGGAAAAGGTCAAATCCTGTCACTCTTCTTCTAAGGGACTTTCCAAATTCTTTGGATTGACATTTTTTTGCTGTGCTAGTGTTTGTTAAATTATAGTCATCTTGAACATGTACTCATTACTCTGTTACATGGCATTAGACATCCATAATGGTCTGGATTCAAACCTGGCTTGGAGGAGGTACAAGGGGGATTAAAAACAAATGACCCACCAAGATACTGTGATTTTACTGTTAGTATTCATAAGACTGGACAGAAAGGGCAAATATTGGCTAAAAACAAACAAAACACAAACAGCAGATAGCATTTCTGCAATTCTAGACTTAACTTCTAAAAGGATGTCAAAATTCAGGACACTATTACATTTAATCATGATGTTAATCACCTCAAAGATAGAAATCCAGCTTTTCTACCAAGAAACTGCTTTAACAACGGAAAGACATTTTCCACGTAAACAGACGGGCAGAACTCTACCAACAGAAAAGCAACACTTGCAGTTTATGGATCCAACAAGAAAGCTAAATATGTTTAAAAGTGTCCTACAAGTGTCCCATTCCAATAGATGTCCTACACATAGGGTTTGCTTCTCATAAATAATTAAACTGTTTAGAATGCAGCACGAGGTTAAAAAATTACATTGCACTTTTGCAATTACTATTTTGTTTGTTTTAAATGGTGTGGCTAAATGTTTCAATCTCACATAAATTAGTCTCTTGGTCCTAACTTTGGAAAACCTGGTTTTTTTCTCACCTATCAGCTCCAGATACAGAACTATAAGCTTTCAATGATGGACATTCTTGCTTTTCAAAAGGAACTATTCCTGTAGCCACAACCTGTGGCCAGCTATCATAAATAATACACCCACAGAACTTGGGTTGTATGAATGTGATGCTTCTAAATCCTCTTGCATAATAGTTTTAGGTGGCCTAAAGAGTTAAAAGCTGTCATTGTCATCAATATTTATTGTACATCAATAGACTGCATGGCAGTAAGCATTAGCTTTGTTTTCACTAAAACATCTACAAATTAATTATTGATGTTCTTTTGGAAGCACTCTATCACTTTTATTGGTTATAATAAATTTTTCTTGCAGAGTAAAGATGAACAGTAGTTTCTATTTGAGAAAGACTCTTAATTCCCAGCCCACCTTTGCTAAAATGCCATGAGAAGGAAATAAAATTCACTGCTAAGTAAACAAATTCTTATAGGAAACTGTCAATCTGTTTTTTTGCAATTCATCCTCAACAGTTTGCCAAAAGCTCATTTAAAATGCTGTATAGAATTGCTGAGTCAGCATTCTGCCTTCTGTCTGGCAAGCTTGTTACTGGTAATTAGACACAGCAGTTTAGGACAGAGTCCATAAGAAACACATTACATGACTGAAAGCTAAAATAGAACTTAATGGTAGAGAAATACTCAGAAACAGGGACAGATAGAGATCACCATGAGAAGACAGGGAGGATTCCCATTCTTCTTGCTGATTAGGAAGAGCTCCTTGCTCTTACCTACAGACCCTAAACACAAAGGCATGACTAAAAACATCAAATATATTACAAAGAATGTTCTGTATAAAGAGAGGCTGACTGGTAGGATTTCACAAACCAGCTCAGCCATCACACTACTGATGAGACTGTGTCCACGGTTCTCTGCTTTAAGGAGACCAATGGTGCTTTCCTATTAAAAGCCGGAGATCCTACTGCCGTCTGGGGAGCAAAAACTGGGAATAGAGAAGCACAAGAACAAACTTGTCTAGTTATTACCTTGTGCTCCAGAAGCCTCTTGGCCTGCTGGTACATGAGCAGACATAACATTCTTTCCCTGCCTCCTTTCCACTCCCTCTCCAAGGAGCCATGTGAAGGTGGTTCTAGCACTTCTCATGTAAATGCCAGCTTCACCCCTTTACCTCTGGAAGAAGGAAGAGTTCAAATGCATATCTCCTAAAACAGGATGATGATTAAGTTTACAGTTCAATTCAATAGATATTTACTTAATTGCAAGAATACCTCATATCTGCAAGAAAGCTTGAAATCACAATATTTTCTTCTTTTTGATTCTGCCTTACTATAAGCTCTGCTGCATTTGTGTATCTACAAAGGACATCTACTATCTCAATAAATCACTGGAAAGACTCAGACCATTGGGAATACATATTCCTTTCTGATTTTGAGATTCTTCTGCAAAAGCCATCGCTTCATATACACTATAAAAGAGAAGGTTTTCTTCCTCATTTTTGCAATACTGTCCCCGGGCCAGGGAATCCCTCACAGAGGGATTGCATTGAGCCAGCAGAACCTGGATACCAATGGCTTCATAATCTCTGCGAACTTCTTTCAGTGTATGGATCCCTGCTGTATCTAAAAACTGTATTGCACTGCAGTCAATCACTATGGTATGGAGCTCCAAGGGATCACAGGAAAGTTGCACTGAAACTCCGTCCTGGATTCCACTGAGAGTTACTGCTTCCTTTTTCATCTTTCTCTTTGCTGCCTTCTTCTGAGCTGCCTTTACTAATACTGGGTTGAGAGTTTTTTTGTATAAAGCAGATTTAAAACATTCTTTGTTTATGTAGTAGAGAGGGGCTACAAAGCGGAAAATCTTGATGCCCGGCTTAGCCTGAAGGTTCTTGTAATCAGACATGGATTCAAAGATTTCAGTCTCTTCCACCAAGCCAAGCAATGAAATCTTTGGCTTCTGAGTGCGAAGAATGACACAAAACATAGAAAAACAAACCCCAATAAGCAGGCCTAATTCAGTACTTATCAGTGCAGAGGACAGCATAGTAACAAACCAGATAACCGTATCCATTCTGCTAACCCTCCACATCTTGGGCAGATCCTTAAATTTACGCAGGGCTCCCCGGAGATTTACAATAGTGATCACAGCAAGGACACTTTTCTGAAGGGAATAGAATAAAGGAGCTATTACCAGGAGGACCAACAAAAGAACCAGAGCTGTCATTACACCAGAAAGCTGAGTTTGGCAGCCCGTTGATTCTTTAACCAACGTCTTTGCAAGAGCTGCGCTAGTAGTAAAGCAGTGAAAGAAGGAAGGGATGATATTGCAAAAGCCAATGGCATACATTTCCTGATTAGCTTTGACTGTGTAGCCATGTTTCTTGGCAAACATCTCAGAAAGTGATACAGTGATAGCAAAACCAATGATAGAAATAGCTATTGCATCTACAGCCACACTAGGAATTAAGTTCCAGTCTGGTGCTTTGGGTGGCATAAACCCAGTGGGAATATGTCCAGCAATACTGGTATTGTATTTCTCATTTAGTTTTCCAAAATGAGAGGCTAATGTGGCTGCCACAACGACAAAAAGTTCAGTAGGAATTGGTGCCTTAAGCTTGGACTTGAAGCGTTCATTGAGTTCTTTGGTTGGCAAAAGAACCAAAAGGCACAAAAGGCTGGTGATGAGGTCACAGACATTGGTCTTATGGATGTTTCTGAAGATATGTATCCAAGTAGTGATGAGCGAGCCCACGCCATTACTCCGAGGAAGGCTGAGCCCAAGGAGATACTTGGCTTGAGATGTAAGAATAGTGAAGGAGGCACCAGTGACAAATCCACTCAGCAAGGCATCTGAGAGGTAGACAGAAACAAAGCCCACTTGAAAGAAGCCCATCGCTACCTGAAAGGAAGGATATATAAGTGTTAAATATAAATGGAAAAGCTTCTAATCCTGTATTACCCAGGCATTCCTTTGCATGGAGACATACCATCAGAGCATCACAGAATGTCAGCTAGAAAAAACACAATCACGTATCAATCCTCTAATTTTACATAGAGAGAGTTCATTTTACTGACTCAGAAGGCTAAGCAACTTGCCCAAGGTCACACTGTTACTCAATAGCCCAGATGAGACAAGAATTAAGGATTCCTACCTTCTTGTACAATGTTTCTTAAACTTGAATAAGGTTCAGACCTCTTTCAAAAAGAAAAAAATTCTCAAGGATCCATGAGAAATCATAAAAACTCAAATTGGAAGAATTCTTCTAATTAAAAACCATGTGTTTTCTTTAAACTACAAATTATTACCATAAAAGTAAAGTTTCAACTGATAAAACCAAAAATTAGATTCACACCAAAATAGAATCACACTTTTGAAATTACAGAACTCTCTTTAATCTAACCTTATATTGAGAAACTAGTCTCATCCAGTATACATGTGCTTATGCCATACTGCTTCCCATATTAATTTGGCATCCTCAAAGATACAACTTTTTTATTTCTTTGTTTTTTTCCTCTTCCCAATAATTCTTCAGAATTCTACTGTGCCATTCCTCATTCTTGGTGAGACATACTAACAAAAAAGCAAAAATGGACTGAGGAGCACAACTCTTCTGCACATCACCCCCTTCTCCCTTTCCTCCTCATCCAAGCACCAAATCAAGTGAGCGACTCTTCCCCTTCCCTTACTGGTTCCAAATGCCTGTAATAGGAGGTTTAATGCTGGCATTAACTCCTGGATGCCAAAAGGCAGGGGCATGACGATAATAGCAGATTAATGGATTCTACGAGAGACCCAAGAAGAATTTCATTTCTACTCCTTTCTCTTGGCTGATAATATGAAATAGTGGTTCTCAGCTTTTTCCCTCCCCAACAGTCTGAGAGAACTATTTTTGGTGAGAGTCACTCACTAGGAGCAGCAACTCTAAAGGAAGGACGGGGAGGTCATCTATAGTTTCAAAAACACCTGCACTCCTCCTCCCCAACCCCCATTCTGTTACCCTCCCGCCTGACTGTTAATGCTGGCTCTGCCAATAACCGACCACACAAGCAAACCAATGTTTCTCAACATATAAAATTAAGGAGTTATCCTAGATGGTCTGAGGTCCCTTTCTGGTCTAAATTTTTACAACCAAATAATTAAAATCTGACTGACTGAAATTCACTGGTTAAGAGGCAGCCTGGGGTTGAGAAAAGAGATGCAGCCTTATCTTACCTGTGGAGTCAAACCAGGCTTTGAATTTTGGCTCTACCCCTCACATATCCTGAGCATTCAATAAATGACAGCCTTAATTATTATGATCTCTAAGATCCCTCACGGATCTGAGATTTCATGTATAGTGATTTCTTTTGCCAGAAACCACTTGTTCCATTGTTTCTTACCTGATAAATTCCAGCCATAAAGGTTACAGTGCTGCCAACTTTAATTGCATAGCAACTTTTGTCACATGTCCTGTCTGATGTCTGGTTTAATGATATGCTCCCATTTGAAACCATCCCTAAAGAAGGGGCAATATAGACAGTGTCATAGCCAGCTTTGTGTACTTCTCGGTCAACCACCTCACCAATCATAAGGCACAGTACTCCAAAAATGCCCACAGAGATGTGACGGGAGGTCCCCAATAGGAAATAAATGATGCTGGCAAAAAAAGATGTATACAGACCATAAATAGGTTCTTGGCCAGCCAAGAGAGAATAAGCAATGGATTGGGGCACCAATAAGATGCCCACAATCAAGCCAGACATCACATCTCCTAAAATGTTTTTCTTTAGATCATATTTTGGGAGCCACTGCAAAACAGGAAGGAAACCAAAAATCATATTTTTTGCTTTGGTTGGACTACACTGGCAACTCTTCTGTAGTTTTTTGATGACAAATTGCTTGCAGTTAGTATTTGATTTCTCTTGAGGCTCCATATGGATCCTAGGATAAGGTCTGCATGGATCACTGGCCTCGAATTGCTTGAAGTCAGTACTTGATTCCTTTTCAAGCTCCGGATGGATCCTAGATGGATGACTGTATCGGTCATTTCCTTCAACTGAGTCCTTGGGTGAAAGGTCACGTTGCTCTTTACTTTCTGAAGACATTTCTGGAGACAGATGCTTCAGCCTCCTACCCTAAAGAAAACACAGGGTTAACTGATTAAGTAATTCTCAGTGCTCACAAATTTTAACAGTCTTACTTATCACTCATGAGAATTAAGAGTTCAGTTTTGGGGTAGGTATCTTATATTCACTTTCCTTAGTTAAGCCTCATTTGTGAAAAGGGGGAAAAAAGAATCAGACCATAAACACCCAAGTCAAAGCAAAGAATTCACTGGCTACAGGACTTCCCAAGAATATGAATCATCAGGGATTCTTCTCCATCTCTGCCTGGCTCCCCCTGCAGTTTTTTCTCCAGAAGAAGTATCAGGGTGGCCTGTCTCCTCCTTTCTTTATGCTATCAACGGTCTTCTCTCCAGATTTTTCACTCCCAGACATACTGCAAAACAAGATCTAGTCCCAAACCTTCACCCCTACCTGCAAGTCCCTGAAACAAGGAAGCTGGACCCTTTTTTGGGGGGGAGAGGTGTCCCTTTTTAAATAACCCACTAATTGTTGAAAATAAACATAAAAAAGAGAAAGAGAGAGACAGAGTAAAGATACATGTTTTTTGAAAACAGAAAGAAACTAGAGCAAAATGCATTTAGGTCTTTGAACAGCACCCCCTTGCTTGGTAGGAAAGAGGAGAGAGAAGTTAAAAGACTGTTGAAGCAAACAAATGTCACGAGCATGGGGTGGGCTGAGGGGGTAAGTGTCTGATATATGCTCTGAAAAGCTTCCATCTATTCTACTTTATTCTAGTATAGAGTCACATCTGCCCTGTGGGCAGGGCCCATGCTCATGCAAAGAAACATTCACTTTACTATTCTAAGTACATACTCTAAGCACAGGCTGAATAGAGGACTAATGTTGCCCTGCTTGTCCACTTGCAGGGTAACCAGGTGATCCTTCATCTCTGGGTCCTTAACTACATAACTGGTGCCATAGGACCTACCACTAAGAACCGTAGGAAAACAAAGAAGGTAAAACTAACCAAAAAGAGAAGGAATGACAAAAAAATAAGTCGTTGTAATAAGAGTAAAAAAGAGGAGGAAAAAGAAACAGGCTCTCAAAGGAATAGAGTGTAAACTATTTACTAAATACTTCACAAATGAGTGTCTTTGTGATGTTAGTTTAGCTTAGAATGGCCATCCAGCTCTCTGCCTGTCTAGATCCTAACCTTTTTTTGTTTTTTTGGTGAGGAAGATTGGCCCTGAGCTAACATCTATTTCCAATCTTCCCCTTTTTGCTTGAGGAAGATTGGCCCTGAGCTAACATCTGTGCCAATCTTCCTCTAGTTTGTATGTGGGTTGCAGCCACAGCATGGCTTGACAAGTGATGTAGGACTGCACCCAGAATCTGAACCCATAAACCCTTGGTCACCGAAGCGGAGCACACAAACTTAACCACCATGCCACCGGGCCAGCCCCAAGATCCTAACCATTTTTAAAACCCAGTTAAAATGCTCCCTCCTACACAAAGCACTGACCAATTTCTCCTAGCTCCAATGAATCACTATACCCTCTGTGTCCCATTGCATTCTGCACCTCCATCATAATACTAAGTACACTCTTGTATTAGTTATATAGGAGTCTCTCCAGCTCCTGGAGGAATGGACATCTGGTTCCTCATTGTAATCATCAATGAATATAATATAGTAACTCTGAGATAGCAGGCTTACACAATGTTTGAATGAATGAAAGAATAAAAGAAGAAACAAATTTATGACTGTAGCCAGATAGAGATAAAATATATTAGACAGAGGACTCAGGAAGCTTCCTGTTTTGGAATTGACAGAAAATAGGCCCTTGTGAGATTCTATAAATCTAAGGTTACCAAGATGCCATAATCCAGGACCCATGACCTATTCAAGAACACAAGATATGTGAAAGTAACTCACATTAATTTTGTTTAAGATGAAGGATCATCCCACTGAACAACAGTAAAATAACAGTTACTTTGGTGATCTTGTTAAGTAGGTAAGGAAGGAAAGATTTAGATGACCACTTACCCTGAGCAAGTCAATCAGATTGGTGGATACACACAGCAGGTCTTCATTCTTCAATGCAACCTGTCTATAACTCTTCTGACTTCCTACTTCAGGCCAACCTAGTCTGAGTACATTTCTTACGCCCTTCTATTTTGGAACAGCTCTTGGTGATTTCTGGGTCAAAAGCCTTTTCCAAACCTAAGATATGCAAAAGAGGCATAAGAAAAAACTAACAAAATCCATATCTTGCCCTATATGGCTATTATCTGGGAAGGAAAAAGATAAAAATTAATACTTCTATCATCAGTAAACTTGACAGAGCCAAAGAAGGAATCAATGAAACTGAAGATAGAGCAATAGAAATTGTCTAAACTGAAACACAAAGAAAAAAAAGAATTAAAAAAAAACCCAGGGGCTGGCCCAGTGGTGTAGCGGTTAAGTTCGCGCACTATGCTTCAGTAGCCTGGGCTTCGCCAGTTTGGATCCTGGGTGCAGACCTACTCACTGCTCATCAGGCCATGCTGAGGCAGTGTCCCACATAGAGCAGCTAGAAGGATATATAACTATGACATACAACTATCTACTGGGGCTTTGGAGAGAAAAAAGGGAAAAAGGAGGAAGACTGGCAACAGATGTTATAGCTCAGGGCCAATCTTCCTCAAAAAAAATAAATTATCCCTTAAAAAAATAATTAACAAAACCCCAAAAAACGATAACAATAATGTAAAAGAACATTTGAGAGCAGTGGGACAGATTAAACAATCTAACATATGCATGATTAGAATCTCAAAAGAATACAGAGAATGGGCAGAAAAAATATTTGAAGACATAATGGCCATGAATTTTCCAAAATTAATAACAGACATCAGACTATAGATCCAAGAATCTCAGAGAATACCAAGGAGGACAAATATAAAAACAAAACAAAACAAAACCCCACACCTACACACATCATATTCAAGCTACTGAAAACAAAAGACAAAGATAAAATCCTGAAGACAGGCAAAGAAAAAAACACACATTACATACACAGGAACAAAGATAAGAATTATAACAGACTTCTTATTGGAAATCATACAAGCCAGAAGATGATGGAGTGATATTTTTATCACAGAAATATAATTGTCAACCCAGAATTCTATACCCAGAGAAAATATCTTTTAAAAGATGAAAGAGAAATAAAAACTTTCTCAGATAAACAAACACTAAGAGCATATATTACAAGCAGACCAGCACTACTATATATACATATACCAGACAGAAACTCAGGTCTACACAACAACACACAACAAAGAAAGAAAGTCCAGGAAGTGGAACAAATGAAGATAAAATAAAATCAATTTTTTTAATTAAAAAAAAAATCTTGAATTGCTCTAAAAGATAACTGTCAAAGCAAAAATAGGAATACATTTTGTTTATAGCATATACAAAATAAAATATATGAAAACAAAAGCACAACGAACGGGAGGGGGAATTGTAAAGTCTTACCAGATGTGAAGTGATGTAATATTATTTGAAAGTAGGCCTGATTAGTTAAAGATGTATATTGTAAACCCAAGGGTAACCACTAAATTTTTTTTAAGGTATAAATAATAAGTCAATTGTGGAGATAAAATGGAATCATAAAAAATTCTCAATTAACTCCACAGAAAGCAGAAAAACAGGAAAAAAAGAGACCAAAAACAGATGGAACAAAATGAAAACAACTAGCAAGAAGGTAGAGTCTAATCCAAATCTATAAATAATCACATTAAATGTGAATGGTCTAACATGTCAATTAAAAGACAGAGGATTGTCAGATTAGAGGAAATAAGTAAGACCCAACTATATGCTGTCTATAACAAACTCACTTTATGGGCCAGCCTGGTAGTGTAGTGGTTAAGTTCACACACTTCACTTCGGTGGCCCAGGGTTCGCAGGTTCTGATCCGAGGTGCAGACCTACGCACTGCTTATCAAGCCATGCTGTGGCAGCATCCCACATATAAAGGGAAGGAAGAGGATGATGGGCACAGATGTTAGCCCAGGGCCAATCTTCCTCAGCAAAAAGAAGAGGATTGGCAACAGATGTTAGCTCAGGGCTAACCTTCCTCACCAAAAAAAAAAAGAAAAAGAAATATACAGATAGATTATAAATTGAAAAGACTTGCCCAATTTAGTAATTTAGTTAGCTTGTAAGTGACTCAGCCAGGTAATAAAATCCAGATTTTAGGATTCCAAGAATAGCTCTTTTTTGAGCACGGTACTATTCCTACCACCTATCTAATTAGCTTCCTCTAACTTCACGTGCTTCTAAACACTTTAGAATTCAGCTACCCTACATATCCCAGTTTCACCTACTTGCTACCCAAAATAACCCAGCACTGATATCTACAAACTTGTACTTAACTCTCCTTTCTCTATACTCATAGCCATGGTCCTATTCCATCTTTAGCTCTCCAAAACTTAGGTTATTCACTCACAAACAGTTCCAGAAATGGAAATGATTCAGCCATCAGTCTGAATCCAAAAGCTATCTACAGTCTCTTTACCTATTTTACTCACCCCCTAAGATTCTCATCAAAACTATTTATATTTTTTCTTTTTAAAACCCAAAACATTATAAAACTACATTAAAAATTATCTTTAAATTGTAGGTATGACCTGCATACAAATTAAGCTCCTTGAGAGCAAGCTCCATTCTGGATCATCTTTGAATCCCCCAAGGTATCCAGGTATATGCTTTCCAAAATATGAACTAAAATGTTTGCTAAACAAATAACTCAAATACAGAAAAAGGAGGATGCAAAGCAATATTTATTTTAAAGTGGAAATACCTACTTTGGAACATACTTTTCAAATATCCCTTTTTGCACAAAAATTCTCTCACTTCCTCAAGCCTGTAATTGCGTTCACTTTTAGTATTCACCAATTGCTTCATGAAAATTAATAAATTACAGTGTTTATCCTTGGAATATAGTCTACAACCAGACTTCCATTTTAAAAAGGCTGGAATACAAACTATACATTCAATAAAGTTCAGTGAAACAGGATTTTACTGTATCATCTAGGCTAATAACCCCCTTGATTAACAGCAATAATTGAGAGTGGACTGACTCAAGAGGAAAACACTTGAACCTTCCACATTACTCTTCCACATTATGGGAGGAAAAAACCAATAAAACATTTTTGAAAAATACATTTACACACGCAATATTGAAGTATAATGGCAGTACAGGCAACACAAAAGAAAACACATCTCTGTATTTTCATCTTTAATTGGGCACATGCAACTGTGACTATCTAGAAAGTGGTCTTATCCAGGTGACCAACAGCAGCACTGGCACAATTTCCCATGTGAATTACTGAGAGTCTAAGAGCACTGGACTAGAACAGAGGGACAGCTCTTCTATATAAGCCTGATAGTGGTCAGCTAACTTCTATTTGAAAATTTGCAGATATAAGTGAAACAATGTCTACTTTTGGTAAGCAATTACAGCATATAATTTTAACTAATAGTGCATATAAAACACTTTTGCAGTTTGTGAAAGTGAAATGCCCTTTCAGAGGGTGATAGTTTTCAGAGGGGAATGGTCAAGTCTGAAACATAATGGTTCCATATTCATGCTCTGCTCTGTGTATGTGTGCCACAACCTCACTGCTAAATAAAACTGAAGCTGCCAACTACTATCATCATAGCATCTAAGCAGGGGAGAAATCTGCAAGAGCTGGAATAGTTTAGAAAGTCTTCAAGGGAAGAACATATCTCACCTGGGCTCTGAAGTCTGGGTCAGAACTGAAAAGATGAGGACTAGGAAAACGAATGAGGGAGAAGAAAACACAAACAGCAACAGATCTGAGGTTGGAGGAAAAGAAGCAGGAATTAGAATGGTATGTTTAAAGCAGTGATGCATGTGGGAGAGGACGCTGCAAAGGTACGTGGGGGGATTCTGGAGGGCCCTGAATGCCAGGTTAAAAAAAGCAGACTTTAATCTGCAGGCAGTGTATAGTCCCTGAAGGTTCTTGAGAAAATCACTTACTATATCACTCATTTGATAAATAATCATGTATTATCTTATTACTTCTTCTGGTCTGTTATTTAATTAATTTTTTCTATTAAGCAATTAATATTTTACTTTTTTGCCTTTTATAAATAAAAAATAATTTAAGATTGTTTAGAAAAACAAAACTAAACCATAAACCGGTACAACCAAGACAGAATCTCCATTTACACGGTCCTATCCTCCAACGCACTGTTGTCAGACAAGTCCAGGGAAGATCACAGCATTGTAAGGCCCAGGGAAGCCAAGGATGAGCAAAGACTTCTGTATTCATCTCCATCCCATTCACAGGTGCCTGCAACCAGGATGGCTGGAGCCCAGGCCACTGTCCAAGGCCCTTGCTCTAGATTGAGAAGTTAACACTGTGAGACTGGCCCCCTGAAGGAAAAGGAAGGACCAACTGCCATCAGATGAAAATTCAGACTCATCTTTGTTCTGCAGGCCTATAACCCTTGCTTACTTCACAAATATTAAAAAATGCCAAGAAGCCTGCCAAGGCTGGATTAATTAACTTTTCTATGTGAGCTCCTACACACTGGGTACTGGTTTTCATCAAATCATAAACATCTATTAAGTGCCTACTATAAGCTAACCACTGTGCTAGACACAATGCATCAGAACCTAGACCCCAAAGCTAGGAGTCAATCTTTCCTTTCCCTACTCCCTACTCCCATATATAATCCATTAGTAAGTCCTGTCTGCTCCACCTTGAAGAACATATCTGTCGTCTACCTACTGCCCAAAGTATCTGGAATCCAATCACTTCTCACTACCCTCCATCATGCCTCACCTGGACTACTGTAATACCCTACAATATCTGAATCCTGCATACCTCTCCACCCTCATTTCCTACCGGCCTTCTTGCTGTTCCTGGAACATGCCAAGTTGATTTTCTTCTTAGGGTCTTTGCACTTGCTCAAGTTCCTTTGCCTGGAATCATCATACCCCAGATCTTTACAGGCCTCTTCTCATCCTTCAGGTCTCGGTTTATATTTCACCTTCCGAGAGAAGCCTTCCTTGACCA